ACGTTCGTGTTGCATAAAACCTTGCTTCGTTTTAAATGCTAGTCCACATGTGCTGCACATCCACTTTCGAACGTTCAAATGCATTCGGTTCTTATGATCTTCACATTGAGCCATGAGATGAAAACCCTTTCCGCATATATCACACTTATACTTTTTTTCTTTTTGAACATGCACAAATCGAATGTGAGAGCGAAGATTCTTTTGATATTTGTTTTTTGAATGGCAGAAACAGCACTCGAATGTTTTCGCTAATTTGTCACAATTCGGACCATGATTTAGTAAGCCTGCAGCCGAATGAAAAACTTTCTTACAATCGTTGCAGTGATGCCCCCCCATTTTATGAACCTGAATCTTATGTCTATCAGCCGTGTTTTTGTTGAAGAATGTCTTACAGCAAATTTCACAATATTTATCGTTCTCCTTAGTTTTCATGTTCCACTTAACAATTTTAGCAGTAGTATCAATATCAGTTTTGGGAGTTTCGATACGAGCAATATCAATGACTGGTTTCGCTTTCAATCCCTTCTTAATGCGTTTACAGCGAAGCAGATGATGTTTATCCAATGATTTCTTCGAGAAAAACACTTGCCAGCACGACTCACATCTGAATTTCTCTATACTATCATCATGTATCAGGCGCATATGTTTCCGCAGATAACTCTCTCTTAGAAATGACTTCTTGCATATATCGCAATCAAATTGGTGGAATTCAACACCGGAGCTATGTCTGAACTTTTTGTGTACTTTGAGCTTCGCTGGCCCTTCAAACAGTTTCTCACAAACGTCGCACTTGTGTTTGTAGTTATTCTTGCGTTTTCCTTTTGACGATTTTTCTGATGCAGTTGAAATAGGTTGATTGTAGAACCCTTTACTTGTATCAAAATCCATACCACTCTCTGCAGTGAAATTGTTACCATCTACACATATAAACTCTTCAACTGGTGTTTCTGGCTCCATTTTAATTTCGATTTCCCCAACAGATACTGTATTTGATGGTGTGACATTAATACCGGCATTATCTTCATCTCTATCTTTGTTGATAGATTCAGTGTAGTTTCCATCACAACGAGTTTCTACGAAATTTATCGGATCAACGCACACGGGTTGTTCAGTTTGTTCTATATGAGGCTCAAGTTTGATATTCATTTGCCGATCACAAATCGCGGCAGTTGCATTATAATCGCCTTCATCATGGTTTTGGTTGATAAGTCCCTTCTGACTATCATGCTGAATACTGACGTCAGGTTTCGATTCTCTCTTGATGCATGTCACTGCATTGTGTAATGTGTATAAATTGCTGCCGATTCGAATCAGGCTTTGGTCGCAGTCTGCACACGTTTCTTGAGCAAAATGCTCCAGAATATGGTCATCCTTTTCGACGGCACTGCCGAATGTTTGTGGACAGAATAAACACTGGTGAACTGAGAAATATCATATATATTAGCATCTTAAAATTGCGTTATTGTATTCATAATTTTTACCTGTTTTTGTTCCGCTCATTTCTTTTTGAGAAAATCAATGGTTTTCAAATTAATTCACTACTTTTCCATTAAAATTGATGTATATTCTCTATGCGTCATATTTATTGTGATTGTTTACATGCAAAACGTCAAACTTGGATACAAAGTGATGTTTGAAATATGAAAGAAATGGAATGAGTTCCAGTGTTTGCCACCAGTCGCACGAACCGTCAATAACTTAGTACTAAACGATATTTGCAAATCCATACAAAAACAATGATTTTCCATTATTTTAATCTAGTTTATTTGCCTGAATAATAACACATTTGACATTTGCAATGAATTTAGGTCTTAATTTATATCTACAAACTTAGATGATTATTTAGTCATTGGTATGCCATGTACATTGAGCTTATGCTTTTTGTACCCAATCACTCCACCGAATTTTTGATCGCATCCATCGATTCGACACTTGAACTTCTTTTGTCCACGATGGATTCTCAGATGTGCATATTTGGCCGAGGAAGTTCTAAAAGTTTGCTCACACCCAACGTGAGTGCATTTCAGAGGTCGTTCTCCCGTGTGAATGTACTCATGTTGCACTAATCTAGTCTTGGTTGTAAACGCTCGTCCACAAGTGCTACACACAAAATTATGAATATTCATTTTCAAGTGGATTCGATTCTTATGGCTTTCGTATGCCGATTTACATGAAAAATGTCGATCGCATTTTTCACATTTGATTTTTCTGCGTTTCACATGGATTGATTGAAGATGAAAGCGAAGATTCCTTTTTGATTTACTGATTTTGTGACAGATATGGCATTCAAACGTTTGCTGCAATAATTTTTCACACTTTGGACCATGGTTTAGAAGACCTATTGCAGTATGAAACACTTGTTTGCAATCGATGCAGTGATGTCCACCAATTTTATGCACCAAAAATGTATGTCTTTCAGCGGTACTTTTGTTGCAGAATGTTTTATCGCAAATTTCACAATATTTATCTTTCTCATTACTCTTCATGTTCCCGTCATCGATTGGAGTTTTTTCGGTACTAGCAATATCATTGCCTGGACTCTCTATCAACGACTTCTTATAGCGTTTACAGCGAAACAGATGATGATTATCTAATGATTTCTTCGATAGAAATACAGTCCAGCAAAACACACATTTAAATTTCGTGCAAGGGTCGTGTTTAAGACGCATATGTTGGCGTAGAGTTATCTTGCTGTTAAATACCCTCTTACAGATTTCACAATACATTCGGTCACAATCTGTACGCTGATCTGCCCTTTTCTTTGACCGTTGAGATAATTCGGTTTTCTTTGTTTGTTCACACTTCGGGAGATGATTATCCAATGATTTTTGCGACAGAAATGTCCTATAACAAAGGACACATTTAAATTTTAGACAATTGGGGTCGTGCTTCAAGCGTATATGCTTTCGAAGATAATCTTTTCTTTGAAAAACTATCATACATATGACACATTCGAATCGGCCGAACACTGTTCCGAACGCGCGATGAGTATACTTTTTGTGCTGTCCCAGTTGAGAGGATCGTTGGAAGATTTTTCCGCAAATGTCACACTTGTAATCATTGTTACTCTTGCTGTTTGCTTCAGATATTCTTTCTATTGCCGTTGAAAGAGGTTGACTGTGAAACACTTGACCTGGGCCACTATCCATACCACTTGTTACAGTGAAATCGTTCACATACACAGAGATAAACTGTTCGTCTTGTGCTCCCGGCTCCATTTTGATCTCTTCATGCTGAACAGGGACTGTATTTGATGGTGTAACACCAACACCTGAATTATCTTCATCTCTATACTGATTATTGGATCCTTGGTAGTTTTCATTATAACTTACATCCGCGAAATTCATCGGATCAACACTTATGAGCTGTTCATTATGTTCTGTTTCGGGCTCAAGTTTGATGTTTAGTTGCTGTCCATAATCTGTATTCGATGGTGCGACAATTTCATTATAATCCCCATCATCATAGTTTTGGTTGATAGATCTCTTATGGCTATCGTGCTGAATACTGACGTCCAATTTCGATTCTCTCTTGATGCATGTCACTGCGTTGTGTAGTGTGTATAAATTGCTTCCGATTCGAATCAGGCTTTGGTCGCAATCGGTACACGTTTCTTGAGCAAAATGCTCCAGAATGTGGTCATCCTTTTCGATGGCACTGCCAAATGTTTGTGGACAGAACAAACACTGATGGACTGAGAAATAGAACACTCATTATCAATTTCCAATTGAGCTATTGCATGTATGACCTTACCTGCTACTGTTCCGCTCATTTTTATTTAAGAAAATCAACGTATTGAAATAAATTCTGTAATTTTTCATCAATTCGGTGTATATTCTCTAGGTGTCAGATTTATGGTGATTGTTTACATGCAAAATGTCAAACTTGGATACAAAGTTATGTTTGAAATGTTATAAAAATGGAATAAGTTCGAATTCTTGACACCAGTCGCATAAACCATCAACAACAAAATCGTAAATAATATTTGAAAATCCATATAAAGTACGATTTGCTTTTCAATATTTTAGCCATGTTTATTTTCCTCAGTAAAATAATACATTGAACGAATAAATTTAATGAACTTCGGTCTTAATTTGTAGGATAAATCTACTAATTTGGATAGTTATTTGGTTATTGGAATGCCATGCGCATTGAGTTTGTGCTTTTTGAAACCGCTTTGTCCACCGAATTGCTCGTTGCAACCGTCGATTCGACACCGATACTTTTTGTGCCCTTGATGAAATCTTCTTATGTGTATATATCTGGTCGCATAACTTCTAAAAGTTTCGTTACATCCTTGATAAGTGCATTGAAATGGTTTTGCTCCCGAATGAATATTTTCATGTTGTATTAAGCTAATCTTTGATTTTAATGTTCGTCCACATGTGCTGCAAACAAAATTGCAATCACCCACGTTCAAGTGTTGCCGGTTCTTATGATCTTCATATGAATTTAAATAATGAAAACCGATTCCGCATATGGCACAATTGAACTTTCTTTTTGATGAAATGTGAAGAGTGAGAATATGAAATCGTAGACTCTTTATTGCTTTACTCCCCTTATGACAGATGTAACACTCGTACGTTTTCTTTGCCATCTCACAATCATGAATTTGTAGTGCTCTGGTCGAAAAAAATACTTGTTTGCAGTTGATACAAGGATGTCCTCCAATTTTATGAACCTCAAACTTATGCTTATTCGCGCCACTTTTATTGTAAAAAAATTTATTGCAAATATTACAAAACCCATCTTTTTTGCTATTCTCCCTATTTCCGTCATCAATTTGATCACTTTCAATACTAGCAACATCATTGCCTGGAGTCTCTTTCAATGACTTTTTATCACGTTTACAGCAAAGCGACTGATGATGACTTAATGATTTCTTCGACAGAAACACATTGGAGCAAAAATCACATTTGAATTTTTTTTGTGTTCGAGTTCGAGTTGCACTAGATTGACTTTGAAACACTTGACTTGAGCCAAAGTCCATATCATTCGATTCTGTAGTATTGTTCACATCCCCTGTCGATATTAACTGGTCAAATTGTACTTCTGGCTCCATTTTAATTTCGATTTCCCTAACAGATACTGTATTCGATGGTGTAACATCAATAGCAAAAATATTTTCATTACTATTCGGGTTGTTAATTCCTTGGTAGTTTTCAATAGAACTTGTTTCCGCAAAATTCATCGGTTCAACACTCATGAGTTGTTCATTCTGTTCCATACTGGGCTCGAGTTTGATATTTAGTTGCTGATCAAAAATGATGTTGGATGAATCGAATGTTGCATTACAATCCCGTTCATTATGGTTTTGGTTGATAGATCTCCTATGGATATCGTTCTGAATACTGACGTCCAGTTTCGATTTTCTCTTGATGCATGTTACTGCGTTGTGTAGTGTGTATAAATTGCTTCCGATTCGAATCAGGCTTTGGTCGCAGTCCGTACACGTTTCTTGAGCAAAATGCTCCAGAATGTGGTCATCCTTTTCGCCGGCACTGCCAAATGTTTGTGGACAGAACAAACATTCGTGAACTGAGAAATATCATATTTATTAGCATCTTAAATTGGCGATGTTGTATTTATGACCTTACCTGTTTTGGTTTCGCTCATTTTTATTTGCAAAGAATAACGATTTCGAATAAATTCCCAACTTTTTCAGCGATTCGGTGTTCATTCTCCCAGTGTCAAACTCATTGTGCTTGTTCACGTTCAAGACGTCAAACTTTGTTTTGGAGTAATGTTTTCAATGATAGATAATGGAATAAGTTCCAGTTTTTGCCACCAGTCGTGCAAGCCACCTACAGCAACGTCCCAAGCTTTATTTGAAAATCCATACAAAATACGATGTCTTTCCATTGTTGTAATCATATTTATTTGCCTCAAAAATAGCTCATTTAACAAATAAATGTAACGAAATTAGGTTTTAATTTAGATTTCAATTTTTGCAATTAGATCTTAGTAGTAACCTAGATAACTATTTAGCGATTGGAATGCCATGTACGTTGAGTTTATGCTTTTTATACCCATTCACTCCACCGAATTGCTCTTCGCATCCATCTATTCTACACTGATATCTTTTTTGTCCTCGATGCATTCTCATATGTGCAAATTGGCCCGAAGAAGTTCTGAAAGTTTTATCACACCCATCGTGAGTGCATTGGAATGGCCTTTCTCCGGTATGAGTTCGTTCATGTTGCACCAAACCATTCTTGGCTATAAATGCTCGTCCACATGTGCTGCACACAAAATTACGAATATTCAAGTGGATTCGATTATGGCTTTCGTATTTCGATTTGCATGAAAAATATCTATCGCATGATTCACATTTGATTGATGTCACGTGAACTAATCGAAAGTGAGAGCGAAGACTTTTTCTTGATCTAGGCTCTTTATGGCATATGTAACATTCGTACGTACGATTCAATAATTTTTCACAATTTGGACCATGGTTTATGAGCCCTTGGGGAGTGAGGAAAACTTGTTTGCAATAGGTACATTGGTGTCCTCCTCCTATTTTATGAACATAAAATGTATGTCTTTCAGCGGCAGCTCTACTGCTGAGTATTTCACCGCAAATATCACAAATATGGCGTTTTTTGGAGGAAATTGATTTATTGCCTAAAACCTCACCCAACGACTTCTGTTTGCGATTACAGCGATTGAGATGGTTGTCTAACGATCTTTTCAATACAAATATCCTACCACAATCATCACA